AGTTATTTATAGACAAAGCACCTCTTTCAAGGTTAGTGGGTTAAGTCTGTTCAGTCCTCTGCGGAGACCGGCATGTTTGGTGGCAACAAAACCGGCCTCAGCTCCGCTTCCTTCCAGAACCGCAAACACACACACACACACACACACACACACACACACACACTGAAAATCTATTGGCACACACAGCAAAACACTCAGACACTCAGACACACACACAAACACACAACCACGCATATGGACACGCTTAGACGTTCTGTTTGCACCATTGGATTTTTCCAGAGCAAGAGAAAGTGAGTGACAATAAGGATCAAGAAAGCAAGAGAGAGAGATAGGGAGACGCAGGTAGAAAAGACGAGATGGGGAGGTTGCTCCTGGGTTGAATCCCTCATTGGATGAGTCTTCATCTGCCGCCCAATCCTCCCGGGGGCCCCTACTTCTCCATTTCATTAGTTTGTCAGCCTGCGCGAAGGATTGTGCATTAGGCCTTTAATTTAGTGGATAGCCAGAGGCTGGCGATGCTGCCTGGCGTGACTCTCAGCTCCTACAGGCTGGAATCTAACTAGGATCATCTCAGCTCAACTCCATGAAACACACAAACACACAAGCACACACACACACACACCTATTAAGAGATGGAGAGAGCAGGAGGTCCATCTATGAACTGTGTTTATGTATGTTATCCGTCCAAATCAACTCTGCTGGATTTCTCAACACACTGCAACTTAAAAGAAACTTGCCAATGATAACATAAGAAAATTGAAAACCCCATAGAATATATTAAGAAATAAATGCTGAAAACATAAAAAATAGTTATAAGTTTAACAACACATTTGTTGAATTCATTCCAACCGTCTATCTTATCAGTCTATCTATTTGTCCATACATCTCTCTCTCTCTCTGTCTCTCTCTCTGTGTGTCTGTAATCTATTTTATTAAAGAACTATAATTATTTTGTATGGAGCTGTTGTATAATTAGTCCCACCGTTAGAGGGTCTGTCCAACAGTCCAAGTGGATAGCAGTTTCCTTCCTTGAGTCAGTGAGGTGATGCTGGAAGCGATACGCGTTGCATCAAAGGCTTTTCTCTTTCAGACTGAAGCTTCACTTTGGACGCCTGTCTCTCCACGTCAGTCAAGATATCTATTCAGCAGAATGACGTGCAGTGGGGTCTGCTGAGGACTGGCTTGGATGTGGGTGGACTTCTAACAGGACAACAAGTTGCAACAATGCAACAAATGCACATGTACACAGCGGCCCAATTATAAACACACACACACACACACACACACGCGTGTGAATTAACGTCTCGTGGACCCACGCAGGACACTTTGTCTTTTTTTGTCTTTGTTCCGTGTAACAAAGCCTTGTGAGAGAGCGTCGTCGTCTGTCCGACACCCCAACTGAAAATGTCCCTTCACGTCTTTTCTGGTTTTCCTCTCTAAGTACCGCTGCCCCTTCTCTGACTCACCACCCCCCCCTCCGACTTTTAACCCTGCAGCACCCCTCACTCTCGCTCACCCTCATCGGCCAGCTCCACAACCCCCTCTACCCTCATTTTTCTCTTTTTTTTTTTGGCTGGCAGGGGAGGCGAAAGGGGGTGCGCTGGCTGTTGGTGGAGATGGGGGGGCCCTTCTTTTGTTTCCTGTTACAACATGCATTTCATGGGAAGGCCTGGCTTCTGACCCTGCCGAGCACACACTGTGCCACGGCTGGGAGCTCCGAGGGAAAGGCCCATCTGTGGCATCCATCAGGGCTGTGCTCCCCCGCTGAGGTACTGTCAGGAGCTGGAGGGGGTAGTGGCGGTGGAGGGGAGGCTTGCTGGGGGATGATAGGGAGGGGCCAAGGGGGGGTTTGAGGTTTCTTGAAGAACGGGGATATGGGGGGTAAAATCAGGCTGAAAAAAAGAAAAAAAAAGACACGTGGAACACAGGGACCTCTTTAATTCAGAGTAGAACTGAGGGGAGGCAGAACAGGAGGCAACTATGTGTGTGTTTTTATGTGTGTGTGTGTGAGCGCCATAAAGAGTGTAGTACAAACACTGAAACATATGGAGCACAATAATCTCAGTGGAAGGGAGAGTAAGGGAGAGAATTCTCAGCAAATTGCAGTTCACAGCAGAAATTGTTCTGATTAATTAATCTGTCGCTGTTTATGCTAGTAGTTGCAAAAATATATACATATATTGATATTGATTGCTATATATATATATATATATATTCTAATTATATTAATAACAGCAGCTGAACATTAGTGCAGGGCTGAAACACGTTCAAATGGAATCAGATGAAAACATTGCTTTATTGTTTAGGGTTAAACCAGAGACAGGTCGCCCAGGTAAAAAGCTGCTGCCACTGTGTTGTTCTCTACCTTTCCTCTGCCATACCTTTCTCTGTAAAGACTCTCTTATGTTGTTGCACATACCTGAGGCACTACACAATAGAAAAAGTGGATTGGTTTGAAGGTCAGTTTAAATAAAAATACTTCAGCAAGTATGACAGGCGGGGTGTGCTCTGGATAAATGCAGTGCTCTCATGCCAGCTCGCTGAAACTGATTGATTGACTTGTAAGATGTCACGGACAGGCTGAGGAGGCAGGGCGAGAGAGAGAGAGAGAGAGAGAGAAAGAGAGGAAGAGATATGGCGAGAAGGATGCGGCTACCATTGGATGGAAGATGAGACGTATATATGCATGTGTCGAGTGGTTGCACAGCTGAAAAGCACACAAACACACACACACACACACACACACACACACACACACACACACACACACACACACACACACACACAGCTGGCCAGCCATGGCCTGGTTCTGGTCAGTTGCCCGTGGCCACGGCGGGCGCAGGAGTCAGCTGTCAGCCTGTGACGGATTGATACAGACACCCCCTCCCTTCCCCCAGCCCCCAACCCTCTGCCTCCGCCCCTCGACACTCCCAAACCTCCACCTCCATCCCTCAATCCCTCCATCCAGCCCTCTACCTCCCTCCTCGTCAGCAGCAGGCCCATGCCTGGTGGGCATGGAGAGACCTATTGAGGAGGGGCCGGAAAAAGGAGCCCGCCTCCATCTTGACTGTGGCCTGTATTGGAGCATGCCCTCCTGTCACCCTCAATCAGCCACTCTATTGGCTTCATATCTGTTAGCCATGTTAGCTACTAGGCTGTGGTCCCTCATCACTTCATCTGGCCAGCTGACAGCAGCATGCTTGAGGACCCTCCGTGTCAGTTGTCCTGTCCAATGTGGACTGGATGTCTTACTCGCTTCCAGCCTTGTTATTCTCATGTGGATGCTTCTGTGGAAACATGATGTGGCCCTGTTTTCATTAGCGCAGTAATAGGATACATTTATGTTATCTCAGATAGTGTTTTTGAGGGAGCACTGGAAGGCTTTTACCTCTCGATATCAAGTCTGAGAAATTTACCATGATGAAGTCAGCGAGATTGAGCTTGAGACTAGAACATTTTAATTTAAAGTTTTACAAGCTTTGGAGTTTGAAAGACGTGGGTGTTTATTATGCCGTCGATTAGAAGAACCACACACGAGTTGTATTGTGGGAAAAGTAGGATTTGCTGATTGGAGAGCCTCGTGGATATTTCAGCCTCTACCTCATTCATTTGGACCATTTCCCTTTCAGGCGCTACATGACTGCGTGTAGCTGCTTTGCGCTAGTGGATTGTTTGGCATGATATTCCGATGAACAATTAAGTTCTTCATAATGATTAAAAGTTCAGCGGAAAAGAAGACCTACGAGCTTTGTTTTGAATTTTACTCCAAAATAACAGATATGACCAAATATTATTGTTTTCTGATCTTTCACTGCTATGGTTAGATTTACGGTTAGGAAATAACCCAACCACAGTAAAACTGTTTTTAACATCTATACTTCAGTTTTTGCAGCTGTACAGAAATGTCCCACTAGGATTCATACACCACACCACGCCATTGAAAACGTATCAATTCTTTCCCTAAGTCAAAATTAAATTGATTTCTGCATAACGCTGTGGTAGCAGCCTGTTAACCACAAGGTAGCTACGCTCTAAAACTTGCCCTGCTTTGTCGTCCATTTCCTGGGACCATCATTTACAAAAGCAACATTGTGTTGTATTGACAAAGACTTGGACCAACTCATGTTTATGATGTTTACTAATTAATCAAGTGAATCGTGGTCATATTCTCAAAATACTTATTTTACAATTAAACTACATATCAATTTTTTAAAGCTGGAGTTGTTGCCTGGTTCTTACAAATCAAGAAACATAGAACAATGTTGTATAATACGTATTTGGATTAAGATTCAGAATCAGCATTAATAGTCCACTCTTTCTATCCGTTTTGCTGTCTGTATTTACTTTGAGATCTTGAGCCTCCGTCGAACGGTCTCTGTCTCTCTCCTTCTCGAACCTACTGTGTCTGTCTGCCTCTCCTCCTGTATCTCTTTCTCCCTGACCAGTGTGAAGTGTAATTGAAGGAGCAGTCTTCACATGGCCCACAGGCATGGAGGGGACATTGTGTGCGCTGTGGCGGCAAATTGCTCTCCTTGGTCCTCCAAGCCCTATACTTCTCCTTCACTTCTCTCCTCCTCCTCTTCATACTTTCACTACTTTATAAGTCAGCCCTCTCTATGACTCCCCACTTCTCCCTTCCCTTATTATCCTCCCTGTATTACTTTACAATTTCATCTTTGTCTGCAATCCATGAACATTTTTTAAATACTTTACTAAACATTTATTGATGACAATTCAGTAAAAAGAAAGACACGAGAGATGTTTCATTCATACGCTATATTTCAACCAACGACTTTACAATTGCCTTCATGTGCTGTGAAACTGTAGAAAAACAACTATGTTTAATTTGCTCGGAACTCCACTCTTACGCGTGGCATCAGTGCAATGCAGCTTCGCAAGGACCGCAAAATTAATTGTTCACAAAGCATGAAACACAGACTGCACGCTGGTCTGTCATTCAAAAAGACAAACCAGCAGGCCATGTCCAAATACGGTGCATGAGCACTGCTTGAGTAGAACTGCTGCAGTTTAAGCATCAATTGAGGGTGCAGGGGGAAGTAAGAAAGCACCGAGGAGAGTGAACACACACCCACCTGGGTTAGCGAAAGTGACAGAACGCTTGTGATAGGGGATGTGCGAAGTCTCCAATAGGAAGAGCGATTCGAGGCGCCTGCCTGGAGAGAAGGGCACAGAACAGGAAAGAGCTGCAGAGAGTGAGTGAGGGAGATAGACGGAGAAGGAAACCTGAGGGAGGGGAAACAGGGAGAGGGGAGAGTGGTATTCGGGCCGAGACGAAGAAGCGCATGCTTCATTAAGTGAGGAAGTAATCCTGGCTAATTAAGGCTCTCCATGACAGCACTGTCAGGGATGACTGATCCTTCAAATGGCACCTCCCTCTCCTGACTGACAGCCCGCCTGCTCCCACCGCTTTGAAGGTGAGAACTTTCTTACTTATTCCCTCAGCTTTTATTCTATCCCTCCGTCGCCTCTCATCCCCAATTCAAAGTGTTTTTCTTTGTTTTTGTATCTCATTAGCATTTTAGTGCATTTGAGTGTACAGGAGGGAGAAGTGTGTGATGGTTTGTGTCTGTATGTATGGTTTCTTGCATATGGGGTGATTGTGTGCGTTTGTCTACTTGTGTACCAGCATGTGAATGTAGGGTGTAGTAATTGCTGCAGCACCTGATCCAAATACAAGAGGAAATCAGTGGATAGAAGGCGCAGGCCATTGATTGCTTGACTAATTAATCAGCTGCATTGGCTTCATGTAGATCCAGTCTTATCGAGTGGAGGCTCGGCGCAGGCTGCTTTATGAGCCCATAATAATTCCTTTAGCCCACAGAGTCAGGGACTTATCTGGCCTTTAGCACTGCTGTGGTAACGCCACACAATACAGAAGCTTAGAACGCAGCCGTGCCTCGGCTAACAGTTCATCCTGTAAACGTCGATGTTGTTGGAACAAAGTAATAGAACCACGTTTGATTGGGTTAGCGGCATGTTCGGCTCTTATTTATAGGGTCGAGTTTCGCAGTGGGGTGCTTTCTCTACGTGATCCATTGTGAGCACCAACTAGACTCCACCACAGCCACATGTGTGCACTGACCTGTGCCATTCACAGGGGAGCTGTGTTGACAGTTAGTGTCCCCCTGCAGGAGAGCCCACATGAAACGGCAACCTGAGCTGAAACCAGAGAGAGCAGAGGTCATGGTGTACGACCCAGACGCCCAGACAGGGTAGTACTGCGCTGCCTGACATCAATCCGTTGCCCGCCCCCCCCTGACCAGCTCGGTTTAGCCTAGCTCAGGTCAGCCTGTCCCAAACCGGGGGACTACAACCAACCGCTTGTAAACATGCCTATAAAAGTCCTGTCTGTATTGCACCAGAAGGCAGCGCTCTCCCAACCCCCAGGCGCTCACGTCAACGCGCACTTGGAGATGACCGGCTATCTTGGGGCAATGGCGTTCTGAGTGTTACAACAGGTGTCCAACGGTATGTATTGCACAACGTCTGTGCACATGTGTCATTGTCCTGGATTTTGTCCGTCTCCAGGCATCTGTGAGAATGTTAAGTGTAATATCTCATTTTTAACATGTCGTGTCATGTATTGTTTTAAGTGTACTTAAGGAAGCGGTGGATGTCTGTGGTGCTGTGTATTTATAAGGCAAATAACATATGAACACATCTGTGTCTAATTGTGTGGATGCATATTTATTTATTTTTGTGCGAGCCTATTGGTTGGCGTTAAGACACTTAAGCTCTGTGGGGATTTTTTTAATGGATGGCTGCATTAACAAAGCCAGGCTCTAATAGCCCTTTTTAGGTTTTTCCCCCAGATTGCCAGCAACTCATAAAATAGATGATTTAGCAGCAAGAAGCCTCTCCATCACATGGCGAGTTGGAGATAAAAGCCAACTAAAGCTAGAGTCGGAAGTGAGCTATCAGTGTAGGGGATTGAGATGGGTTTATCCAGATCCTCCAACAGTGGTTAAAGTGCAAAATATAAATCATAGTTTTTTTGTTTGGACATGTCTGAAGTATAGCAAACGTTATTGAGTTGTTATCACAAAGATGGTTTAGAAACAGCAGACTCTATTGCACATTACCATATTGTACATCTTAAATACCAGTGAGAAAAAAAAACCTACAGCCATGGTACATCTATATAAGAACCGACCTACGTGGCAGTGTCATCTCACTGTGGGTTGTCATGATGCTACTGCTGCTGCCACTGAGATGGACAACAGTGGCTTTCTCCCATTCGATCCCTTAAGCTCCCTCCATAATCTCCCTTGTTCCCTCGGGTTGCTGGACTGGAGTTAAAGCGGGAAGACCCAGGCAGTTAAAGTTTACAGTGTCGTAAAAAGGTCTCACACGGGCCAGCTCTCTAAAGATAACGCTAAATACACAGTGATTACAGTGTATGGTCAGAGGGCTGGAACTTGAAACTGCAGATGGACACATATGAGTGATATGATGATTGAATGAGCTTATGTATGAATTAGCTTTTGTGAGATTGTGAGATCGAGTGTGACTGATTTCACATGTGTATCTAATACATCATTTTCGTAACACTAGTTAACATATGCTGAGTGAACTTCATTGTACAAGCAGGCATGTTATGAGCATATAACTTTTTGTCGCATATTATCATCATGCCTAGTACCCGGTGAACATTTGATTTGACACTTTTGACAAAACAACAGAAATGAAAAATAAGATAACACAGGACCACATGAGGCGTCTATGGCTGCACATCCCCAAGTTTCCACTTTGCAACTCCCCATTGAGTCCTTGTGTGTGAGTGCACTAGAGAGAGAGGGAGAGATTGATTGTGTTTTAGAGTTAGTGAGCGCATAGGGCCATTTTTAACACGGTCACAGGACGCTACTGCAGGGTTAGAACAGAGATGAGCTCCTGCTCTCAGAATAGTCCCTTGGAGGCCGTGAGGCCCCCGCCACTGACCCTGGCTCGCATTCCACTTGGCAGACACGCAGTTGTTGGGTCAAACATGGTTCCTGGGTTGGCAAGGGACATGATGACATGGAGGGGGGGGGGGGGGGGGTGAAGTGATGCAATGTTGTCCAGTATATCGCCGACAACTGCACTCCAATTTGAATGCCCCGGTGAGGGGGAACTGAAAAGGTGTGAACTATTTTTGCTCTACCTCTATTTGCTATACTGCACCTGAGTAGAAGCTCCCCATAAGTCCGTGGCTGTCTAAATCACACATCCCTCTTTTTTTTCCCTTTCAGCAGCCCCCAACTTACATTCCAGCAGTTAATCCATAAAAATATACCCTTGTTGCTTACAGGATGCATGCCTGGAATAGCTTCCATTGGGAATATAAAGACATAAATACAGCAGGACAATTGTGGAGTGGAGGTCAGGGGGTCAGGGGAAGGTAAAGGGTATTGTCATTTCAGCCAATCATAGCTGACTACCAAATGCGTCAGGAAATAGAACTAGTGTGCAAAAATACATTTGGTGGCCATGAAGTTGAGTAATGGCGGTACGGGTCGGGTCTGTTAACCATGATTTGGCGAGCATTTCTACCGCCAACAGTACCCTTACTTGATAGGCGTGGTGTATTCCAGAAAGTAGTGATAACGTCACTTGATAGGCGTGGTATATGACGGAAAGTAGATTGACGTCATTCGATCGCGCGAAAACTGAAAGCTAACCGCAAACAACAATGGAGGACATACAGCCGATCCTGTTCTTGCTTCTCGATATGTGGCTGTTTGTCACAAGGAGACGACAATCTTTGTTTGAGCAAAGGCTACATGCTGCAAGGAACAATGTTGCGACGGTGTTGTAGTTTAAATATGGCGCCTCGTGTGTTGTCTTTCCCCTTGCGGCACGCGCAAATGACGACACTCAATCAACAAATCAATGTTCTGCAGTGAGTCTAGCTCCACCCTTTAGTACCAAACAACTGTGCCAGGTACCCCAACGGAAGGGTACCCAAAAAGTTGTACGGTACGGTTTGGATTTTTGGTACCATTCTCAACTTTTGGCAGTGGAGACACAAATAAAAGGGTACCGACCCGACCCGTACCGTACCGTGCCGCTTGGTGGAAACGCGCCATAAATGATCTAAATCTGATCAGAAAATCGCACAGGGAGAGAAAAGAAAGAGGAAGCCTTGCAGTATCCTGGGTCTGACGGGTGAGGTTGGTCTGGTCAAAGTGTGCAAACTAATTAACTCTTTTAAAACATCACTGATTAAATTTACTCAAAGTAAACAGTAATCAGTAGGCGCATGTTTTTCAATTATTACATTTGTTCAATCTTTGTATGTTTTGCTTTATACAAAGAATCACACCTTTAAGCCTCCCGATACGACCACGTACGCCTCTGCAGGCCAGATGGACGTCAGAGCCTTGCTCAGGGGTGTTGTGTCAGTGGTTGTTGCCTGCTTTACCAACAGTTTTCCAGGCAGTCTGGCAATTCCAACCATCGGCACTTTGTGCACAAGCCAGCTTCTCTGACCTCTGGACCTCCGCCGGCCCCTGAGCACGTGGTACAGACACTCGGTTTGGAGACTAGCTGTGTTTATGGAGATTGAGCACTGATCTCTGTCTCCCCAGTGGAAATGAGTATATGTGGTGGTATGGAAGAGTCGTTACGGACTCTGTCTTTTGTTTTCAACACCCTGCTCCCAGGTGGTGACAGCCCGCTGCTAAGTGCGGTAATAGCCAATTGATTTTGTTCTCTTTTTTTTTTTGTTGGTGGCGAGACATAAATCAAAGCGTCTGTCAGGATCTTGATGTAGTTGGGAGGGTGTGTGTGTTTGTGTGTGTGTGTGTGTGTGTGTGTGTATAATGGGGGAAGTGAGGGATCTGTTTGAACAGGGATAGTGTCAACAATTTTTTCGGACTCTGATCAGCATGCCAAAGTTTTACTAACCCGCAATCACAGTCCATTCGGGACTGTCGCCTATAAAGACTGTTTTCTATATTTTAAATCCATGCGCTGGTTCCAATAGATTTTTACAGCACCATTTCACGCCTTTAACAAACATTTAGTTGATTTTTCATACTTTATAGGTACAATCTAATCAGATGTGTCTTTTTGCAACACAAGCTTTATGTAATGTCTTGAATCAACTTTAAAAAATAAAATAAAACTCTCAGGTGCTCCAAATCCTCCCCTGCCTCAAGAATCCAAGACATTGGGAGGGAGGTGGGATCATAGAGAACACAAATGCGAGCAACACTGGAACCATGTTAATCCCTTTAATTTAAGTATGGTAAATAGGGTCGGAGCTTCCTTCTAAACAAAACACAGTATACAGGAGTTCAGCAGGCAGCGGCAGCGGGAGCTTCAGATGTAGGCAGGCTACCCGGTGGGATGCCTGGTGGTCTCCTGGGATACCTCCCAGCTCCCAAGACCCCTACTGAGTCCCCCCCCTCTTCCTCCTTCCCAAAGGCTATCCCTGGCCCAGCACTAGCCCGCGGGATAGGGTGGAATGGCCTGGACAATATGCCTGAGACAATGGGCTTTGAACCACACACACAGTAAGCCTATGTTGCCAGCTGTAGCCATTCCGATGGAGACCTAGTACGGGTGCGGAGGAAGAGGCGGAGGAGGAGCGGGTCGGACTGCGTTTTATGTCTCAGGAGTATTAAACAGGGATCTGCCAAAGCGCTTTGCGGCCTAGCATGCTCAACCCTGCCGAAATGGTTCTGCGCAGCAGTGACCTGCTAACCCAAGCCAGACTGACACCAGCACCTCCTCCACTATGAAAGAGAGTGTCTGTTCCCCGGGATGAACACGGGACAGAGGGGGGCTGGTGGGGGGGGGGGGGGGAGGATGCAGAGGGGGCTGAGAAAAGGAGTATGTTTTTGAAACAGTTAGACAATCTGTTTGGATTAGGCCCACTGCCGAAGAGACATGGAAATGATGGGCAGCCTGGACGAGGGGAGGAGAGGAAAAGAAGAGGGGGAGGAGGAGAGGAGAAAGGGGGGGTGAGACAGATGTAGAGGAAAAGTGGTGGTGGAGGGGTTTAGAGGCATGAGGGGGAGTTGAGGAGAAGGGTCGCAGCCTGGAATCTCAGGATCTAAGGCCCTCTTGGCTTGATGGTTCCCAGATGTTGAAGCCCCCCCCCCCCCTCCCCGCGTGCCCCTCCTTCCCTGCAGTGTTGCTCTGCTGTGGTGAATACACAGGAGCCCAGTTAGCCATGCAGGACAGATGGGTCAGTGGCTGTGTGGAGATGGGCCTCCTGTGGACCAGGGGAAATGAGAGGCGAGAGGCATCTCCTCCCAACAGCCACAGGCCAGAGGGGGCAGACCTGGCTATGTTTTCTTATCCTCTCTCCACCACAGGCAATCTCAGATGGTGAGGGATGTACATGTGACCGTGTGCAGATGTGTAGATGTTGTGTCTTTGAATATATGCGTTTAAATGTATGATCTGGGTTTTGCACAATGGCCACAGGCTGCTGCAAAAAGGTTTTCCAATGAATAATGGTGGTAAGTCGCAGTCTG